CGAGGGATATAGTTTGCAGCCCGGACCATGGACACTCGAAGAGAGCTATCTCTTAGACTCCGTTGAGTCATTAATTTTGAACACGTGTGTTATCCCAAGTTACAGAAATATATCAAAATTGTATAATTTTGTGAGCAAGAGTCTGCTTGGAAATAATATACAGTTGACTACAGTCACCTCTAAAACAGAGAGGCAAATTCAAGGAAAACTGGAATTTGTAAGAAAAAAACATTTAGCTCTAAAGAATCTTTACTATGGTATTTCAGTTCTTGATAACCAAGGGAATTCGGACTGATTGTTCTATTACCATATCAAATGGTACTATCTACAAGACAAATATAGTAAACATTGAGCAGTCTTGACTTTCGCCATTATATTTAGAAAAAGCTATTGCTTTTGAAACAGTTTTCAGTGTATTAAGAATCAAAATAATAATTTTAAACGCTTATTGTGTGAAATTCAAGATATTCTTTTAAGGCAACAAAATCGCGCGAGGATATGATGGGCAGTGGGCAACACACCCCTTAATTGTCTGTGTAGTACTCAATTGCCTAGTAAAACAAAATCGCCTTTCAGATCACTCGGTCTTTCAGTCAGGTTGAAGCTAGCAGACAGTTTTATCTGCTTGTCGGAGACTTCTTAATTTGAGTAGAACAGATGTTTAGTTTCTTAAGTAACACCAGTGATTGAGGTAGCCTTGAACGAACTTTAATTTTAATTTAATTTAATTTTTAACTTTTTAATTTAATTTTGTCCGTTTTCACTGCATTATTTGCAGTGGGGAAGGACTAGAAAGGAACATAGGAACCATTCGTGCTAGTCCACCCNATGGAGAGACACCTTTCTACTTTAAAGCACCTTTCCCGTGAGATTAATCGCATGCGACTAGACGTAGAGGCGTTGAAATTGGCAAAAGAAGAAGATGCCACAGGCATACAAGAATGGAACGCAGAGCTCGATGCTAAGCTAGAAAAGGCAGACACCGAGGTCGAAAAGGTGACAACATGGCTAGACGAACGTCAAAAGTAGAAAGAAGTTCACGCGCAAAAACAGAAACTGCAGTTTGAGGCAAAACTGCATCAAACCAAGCTGGAAATGCAAGGAGAACTTCAAGAGACTCAAGCAAATCAACACCCTCACCAAGTCCAGACGTTAGGTAACATCCAAGCCAAATTACCGAAGTTAAGGATAACCAAGTTTGACGGCTCCTTCATGGACTGGCCGAGATTCTGGGGGCAATTTTCAGAAACCATTGATAAGACGAGCGTAGCAGCGATAACGAAATTTACGTATCTGCGTGAACTGTAAGATTCTAAAGTTAGAAGAACAATAGAAGCATTACTCTTCACGCCTGAGGGCTACAACAGCGCGAAGAGCGTCTAACAGGAGAGATACGGGAAGGAATCGGAGATCGTAAGGGCATACACAAGAGAAATCCTAGAACTTACTCCCATACCCACCAGCAATCACAAGAAAATAAGCGAGTTTAGCGAAAAGCTAACCTACTGCGTGCAAGCTCTAGAAACACTCAAGAAACTTGAACAGGTCAATGGGGCAGTGTTGATGACACTTGACAAGTTGCCATCTATCCGGGGAGATCTCGTGCGAACCGATCCACACTGGGAAAGCTGGGATTTTGTAAAACTCTCGGAGGCTATTCGGTTGTGGGTGAGAAGAAACCCAGTAGAGGCAGTGGGCCGAACAGAGCGCGAGCAAGAAGCACCCGCGAAACGGTCTACACGCACGACCAGAGTTTATCATACGCGAGGCGAAGATCTGAGACCCCACAAGTGTGTGTATTGTGGCGAAGATCACCGACCGATTGAATGCACAAAGGTCACGAGCCCGTCAGATCGCCGACAAATTTTAATTGACAAGCGATTGTGTTTCAATTGCACACACGGAAACCACCGCTCATCAAATTGTCCCAGCAGATCCGATTGTCAACGCTGTCAAAAGCGCCATCACACGTCGATCTGCGACGCAGCACACCCCACTAGCGGCGTTAACAACTCGATGACATCTACGAGAGGGGTTGCCTTGACGACAAACCAAATCGGAGAGGGTCTGTTTCCTGTTATCGTGGTGGAAGTCAACGGAATAAAATGCTGAGCATCAATCGATTCTGGAGCGGGTAGTTCATACATATCGGCAAAGTTGATAGATCTTCTCCGCTTGAAGCCCATTTCCACTCAAACGAGGTCAATTGACATGCTGATGTCAACCAAGGTCGCAACACTAGAAGAATACGACTTAAGCTTCAAATCTGTCGACCACCAATTTACGCCTCCTGTGAAAGCAACCAAAGTAAACAAATCGGAACTGTTGTCAATTGACAATCCTAATTATCGCGAACTTATCGGCAAAAACCCGCATCAGAGAGGCCTTTACGTTCACGACGACGACACGAAAGCTAGACTTCAGTACACGTAGTCCTTGGTAGCGGCGAGTACGCCAGGATTAAAACCGAAACAAAACCGCGAATCGGGCAGGAAAACACACCCATCGCAGAGCTCACAAAATTTGGATGGTTTATCATGTTACCTGGTAAAGAATTCGAAAGGAATGTTATGTTACTCACACAAACAAGCCAAGTAGATTATGAGGAACTGTGTAAACTCGACGTGTTGGGGTTACAAGACCCAGGAGATCAAAGCCAAGCAGCAGTTTTCGAAGAATTCGAAGAACAGTTAATACGCTCGTCCGAGGGCTGGTATGAGATCACTCTGCCCTGGAAGGCAAACCATCCACCGCTCCCCTCGAAGAAAGAGGGCAGTCTCAAAAGGCTTCACAGTCTAAACAGGAAACTACAGTGCGAAGGCCTGACCGAAGAATACGGTGCAATTATTCAAGAACAGTTAGCTGAAGGAGTGGTTGAGAAAGCACCCCTAGTCGCGCAGTCAAAGGAATTTTACATTCCACACAAGAGCGTGGTACGCAAGACAGCCGAAGCTACGAAGATGAGAATCGTCTACGACGCTTCTGCTCGAGAAACGCCCGATTCACCTTCCTTGAATGACTGCCTGCACCCAGGTCCCGTGTTACAAAATAGGCTTTGGGACATACTTATCCAACAGAGAGGTTACCCAGTGGTCTTTGCGGGTGACATAAAGAGAGCCTTTCTGCAAATACGGATCCATAAAAGCGAGAGAGATGCACTTCGG